GTAGATATAGGTTCTGAAGAGGAGTACTTCAGAATGGTATCTATGCTATTTTATTACATGAAGTTTCCATCTTCTCCAACTCTGTAAAAAAAAGACTCCCCTCTACCCCTTAACGTACAACGTAATTAAAGGTTAGCGCCATAGTGAAAACAAATAACGTAATTAGCGCCAGAGAGAAAACAATCTTAAGGCCAGTTTCAGGGTAACTAGGGCTTAAAGAATGACACTGTTGCAACAGTTTTTTTTAAAAGATTTAAATTCAAACTTTTTGTACGAACTATTTAATAATTGCAGCTGCGTTTCTGTGGTGTTTTATACAAATATCTCAGGACAATTCACATAGCGCCATCTAGTCTCAAGCTAATTAGAGCTTGTGTTATGGCTACTAGATAACTATTTTTTTTTGTAAATATTTTTTTTGTACATACATAATATGCAAACAATCATACTCATGAATACAAATGTTTGTACCGTACGAGAAATCGAACCCGCGACCATTGGAAGTAAGCCGGTGTGCTAAACCGCTAGACCAGCGAGGCCATCTTAAACTAAACCTAAACTTGTTCAATACTGTATAAAAATAAACTATATGGGTTGTCGATTCAAATATTCATTTGAAGGTAATCCAATGCCACTTTATCAGGCCTTACCTATCATAAAGTCAATTCAGTCGATAAAAATAAACATATCAAGTACATTGTTATCGCCACGTGCATTTTTGCATGGATTTAATTGAAAAACTGAATTTTTGTGTGAATACAGTGAAATATATGATACTAAAAATTATATATATAACTAGCTGTGCCCGCGATCTCGTCTGTATTATAGTGACCTGGACCAAATAAAGAAATAATGTTTAATAATGTAACCCAGTAAAAGCCAAAGAAAAAAAGTTTCATCATTCTAATTTAAAAAATTACGATTTTACATACCAACTTTGTAAAATGTCCTTATTCAGATTTTAGAATGTCTACCAAATTTCATTAAATCGGTTCAGCAGTTTTGGCGTGAAACGAGACAGACAGACAGAAAGTTACTTCTGCATTTATAATATTAGGTTGATACGTTCTGACAGATCTAACAATGTATCTTTTTTGATATAGGTATAAGAGCGATCAAAGGATTTGCCGAAATTCCCACGAAAACTGGCGGTCAAGAGTCGCCGCGGACGAAGATGCAGTAAACCACTAGTATTATAATTCAAACGCAAGGTCTGTGAAGTCTGTACACTAATTGATTTTTGGCGAATATTAGTAGAAATTTTAAAAATAAGTAATGGAATAAAAATCAACCACTTTTGCAATAGATCTGCATATGGTAGGTATATTGTAATAAGAGAATGCATGAATGAATTTCATTGAAATTATATAAGTGTATGTTATATTATGTATGTATTGGCCAGCTTGAAAGCTGGTGTATTACGAGAATCTGTAGTTAATAGAATTACTTGAGATATATTTGACCTCTCAATTATATGAGACCACGAATAAAATAGAGGTCACTGTTAACTGGTCTTTGTAGCTGAAAGTTCCGATACATTTATAAAATTTTGCACGTGTTTCTTATACAACTAAGACAAGATTCGCAACAAATACCATGGGAATGGTCATAATTTACTTGAAATAGTATTAGAGCTACTAAAAGTCACATAAAAGTGGAAATGTTGATTGCCTTACCCACAGAACAAAGAAAGTATTGTTCTGTGGCTTGACCAAATGCTATTTACAGGCTGAAATCAAAAATCAATTGTGAATAATTATAGTATACCACAATAATTGGTATACTATTGAGACATGGATTTTTACTGTAATGCGTGGCTCCTTTAGTAGGTACCTAAATATAAAAATAAGCGGTTTCTAGTTTATAAGAATATTTAAGAAAACCACAACAATGGATATTGTATTTAAATATCCTTATATATGTAGTTATAAAAATCTAGAGTCACTAACGAAATTACTTAGCTAATCTATTTTTATGATATTTATATTGTTAACCGGGTCTTAATACGAATAATTTTATGGTAAATATTATAATTTGAGTCAGCGTGACCACGACTAGTGCAACCTAGTCGCAACGTCGAGAGATAAATTGTAACAACCTTTATTTACCATAAAATTATTCGTGTAAAGACCCGGTTATCAATATAAATAATGTGTGGTAAACACGAAAGTATAAAAATAACTATTTTTATGGTATTTGGCAAGCTGTGTGCCTTTTGCTCCTTTGAAAGAAAGAGTATATTTCTTCTCGTTACGTGAGCATTAATATTTAGCATTGTGAATGAGGAATGCGCAAAATAACGTTTGCCGGCTCAACTATTGTTACTGTCACTTGCTTGCGCAGGATACGATCTGTCGACCCCATTGCAATAGGTATTGATAAGAGGAGCTGATAGCGACAGCAGCGAGTCTGTAAAAATAGTTAACTTACACAATTTATTACCCTATCAAGCTCGTCCGGCGTCATTTAACAGGATTCAGTTTGATAAGAGGGCTAAGAAATGTCTGTATTAGGGCAGTAATAGGGGATGAAAATTGTTTGTAATGTGTTTTATTGACCAAGTTTTGTAACTCTTAAGTGGGTTGGCTATATTATTGACATATTGATAGTCTACTACAAAACTTACCGTGTTTGTATATGGATAAATAAGTATTGAGGGAATGTTGAAAACCTAAAAATAGGTGTTATCATTTTTCATTACAAGTGTCACAAGTAAAATATCCTTAGTGTTTTTTCAGGATAATTATGTTTGAACCGTTACCTAAATACTAACATAAGTGAAATTGTTCAGAACTAATTTGTGTTGATTTCAAACGTATGCTGTTTGCATATGTATAAACGAGACGATTGAGGGAATGTTATAAACCTAAAAATAGGTCTTATCATTTTTTAATACAAGTATTACAAACAAAATGTAGATAATGTTATTTCAGGATAATTTTATGTTTGAACCGTTGCCTAAATACTAACATAAGTGAAATTGTTCAGTGTTTTTAAATCAAAATCCTGTATTACAGATTCTTATATTATAATTTCCTTAAGAGTGAATTTGTGGCATTGTGGAGTTAAGTAAAAAAAAATGTATTGGCCCTAGTTGGTATGCATCGCTCTAGAGAGCGCGGCGCGATTGTATGTAGATTGAGCACTCTCGCAAGCTTTCTATAACCGACTTCAGAATTCAGTAGTATTGTTTAGGTAATTTATTTCGGACGTTCACGCCCGCATCGTGAACTCGATCTATAGGCTAGACCTTGTTTCACATGATCGGGCGCGTCATTAGAAAAGTCGAACGAACCCGACACTTGTTTTGCATCGCAGATTAGATTGGCTTAGTTAAGTTAGTAGCTGTTAAGTTAGATGTACTTACTGTGTTCATTTTCATTGGACTGTGTCAATTCTTATGTTACTAGAATGTCGACATACGCCCGCCACGTCACACTGCCAGTATTTTATAATTTATTATCGTGTACCTGTCTTTCTAGTCATTATTGTATAAGTGTAACACATTTTATGAAACTTTTACACTAGTCGAATCAATAAAATAGTAGTAGTATTTAATGGTTGTTTCATTTAATTAAATTCTATTAAAATTCCGAGTCAATTGGCAAGTGAGGGGGGCGCAGCGTGCGGGCGCGCGTGCCGGCCGACGTGACTCACGCGCCCGCGCGGCCTCAATTGGCCGACGAGAGGGCCTCCGCGGAAGGACAAGCATACCCCATCATAATATTTAAAATTGGTTTTATTGGCAAAAAAAGAAACTAATAATTATTGTACATGTCGATTATTGAGTGAAAAGATAAAAATATACAAGTTTATAATTTGCACAATATATATAAAAAATATAATTCAACTCAGATCAAAGTCATTAATTACCAATATCCTTGTGCAATAAATCTTAACTGTTAACGAAATGAGAATGTCAGAAACATGTGATCCCGTAACAATATTTGAACACCTATATAAGTATTATTTTAACAAAGTTCTTAGCAGCAAACATAGGTTGGTAATTTATATTTCTATGAGCCAGTAATCATAAAAGTTTACTCCATTTACAATAACGATAAAATTTTTAATTAGGGGTTTATAGTCCATAACTAGTGGTGTCAGAGTGACACAGCACTGAGCACGGGGACACCACTGGGCAGACACTGGAGACACTACGGTCAGCTGGGTGCATTCACCTAAGGCTCACTAATATTTGTTCAAAGATTACCAATTCTTAAACATTGTTGCATCAACTTTCCTTCGATACATTTGAATTATATAACAAGACAATAATATATTCTGAAAAAATTTAATGTATTCTTAATTATTAAACATTACTTACACGCTGGTTCAGGCCTGCTGGCACATTATCTAGGACTCCTCCGAGTCCGTGTACACCTCAATCTAAATGTTCAGAAGTTGACACCACCTCCACTGTTCATTGCAAACAGTTTACACTGCTTATTGTTCATTCATACTTTATTCAAGCAGCTTACAATTATTTTACATTGTTTCATATACAATGTACAGAAATCAAATAATGAATATTTGTACAATTTAATGTGCTTTTAAACAGATAACACATTATTCAATTCTCACTTTCCTGTTTGTTATATTAAATTGCTGGCTGAATAAAGCACTGAACAAATGTTAAAAGGATTCAACATCCCTCACTACTGGATAAAATTGAACAGTCCATAACAAACACATATAAAAATTAAATAATGACAATATTATTGCAATATGAACATGAATACTAGATGAGAATGACTTACAATGGACTGCATTAGTCATGGACAATAGTGAGTTGATGTTCAAACATTCCATGTGAATGGATGTAAACAACTTCTGAACCTAACAGCATTCACACAGTACAATGGAATTTCTAGAGTGAAACACACAGAGAATCGTTGAATCTATCCTCAAATATCTCATAACTATCAAACAGATCAAAGGTGTAGTAACATAAATAAACACAAAGGCAATATTCAGATGTGTGCATGGTCATGGTCCTGAAACGACACTCTGTGCATTTCCTACTCATGCTACACCATGGGAACATGAGACATATCAACAAATGCACATATCCAAAACGCTATAGATACTCGCCAAGCAACAATGCTCAACACCCGACCTAGTTAACTTTGGGAACTGTCAAGAGCCAAATCCGGGTACGAGAAGTCTTTCAAATTATTTAATATTTCATATCTAGACGCGTCGAAGGCCCACAACACTTACAGAAGGCGACACACCTTATTCTTCTTCTTGCCCACATCGTGCGTGCCCGGTGACTTCTTGTTGATCTGTCGTACTAGGTCATAAAATACGTCGTTCACGTTGATTTTCGCTTTCGCGGAGGTCTCCATGAAGGCGCAGTTGAAGTGACGCGCGAGGTTCGCCCCCTGTTCTTTGCCAACCACGCGCTCTGGTTCCAAGTCGTATTTATTGCCAACCAATACCATCGGTACGTCATCTTTGTCTTTTACCCGCAAAATTTGTTCCCGCAGGTCTTGCAGATCGTTAAACGTAGATTGTGCAGTGATGGAATATACTAACACGAAACCTTGACCATTCTTCATATATAAATCTCTCATTGCGGTAAACTGTTCAGTGCCAGCCGTGTCTAGAATCTCGAGCATGCATTGTTGTCCGTCGACTTCCACCTGTTTCCGATAGCTGTCTTCGATGGTGGGGTCGTATTTCTCCACAAAGATGCCTTGTACAAACTGTACTGTAAGGGCTGACTTTCCCACGCCTCCGCTACCTAATACAACTATTTTGTATTCGCGCATTATTAACTATTTTGTATCACGTGATTTTATTTTTTGAAATCAAAGATCAAATCGCTAAAAAGCACATTAACTATAGAGTTATTGCAAAAAAACTTGTAACAAGACAAACCGCCATGACACAATTAACAGGGCGATGGCTCACTTTGACAATATTGCCACATGGAAAAAAGTCAAATGAAATCTTTGGTAATTTTTAATAAATAATTTTATACTACGTCACTGGAAGCTACATTTGATATAAAACGTAATTAAAATTAAAAACACCAATTATAATTTCTTACCTAATTATTTTTAAAAATTATATTAATTTAAAAGTATCTGAATTAAATAAAATTGAAATGGTAGAAGAGAAGTATTCAAAGTTCGATAAGTCTCTAAATATATCATCGTATAGGTCACCTATACGACTACACATGATTTTAAATGCGTATTAATTGCTAAATATAGTTTATTTCATTCAGTTTAATTTGAAATTCGAAGTATTAATCAAGAATTTCACCAGCTTATCATATTAATGTTAAAATGGTTAATTAATGTTATGTATATCGTTTAGTTTTTCTTGGAACAGTAAATTATTAATTTATGTAACGGAATAGTTTATTTAATTGTAAATTGACATTTTGCAATTAATTATAATAGACTAGATAAATAGTGAGTCCACATATATATTTTCACGTCAACTTATATATTTTCTATCATATAATATTTCAACCTTCAATTTATTATAAATTTGATACTTGTGACTTTATATTTTTATATTTAAGTTGCCACGGTATATGTTTCCATTATTTGTACTGCCTTTTTTTGCCTTGACTTTGTTATTTTAAGAAGGGTACAAAATTATTATATAGATCTGTGGATATATTGTAGATAAAAAAGCATTTTTTTTATATGTACTTTATGGATGCCAGCTAAGAAAGAGATATACTCATTAGTAGGTTGTCTCTTTCTGCACACGTAGTTAGTCAGGTATTCCAGTTACATAAAATACAATTTAGAGGACTATTAAATGAGCTCGGTACGCTTTTATCTGACGTAACCTGTCTAACAGTCAATAATATCGCCGCTAGATGGCGATATTACAATGTTTTCTTACTTAACGTAATTTTCTATGTTGTATAGTATTCAATTGGACGGTCACTGAGTTTTAATTAATTACTATATTACTTAGTAACATATATTATTATGTATGACGAAAGGTGCTTTTTAATTTTATACTTAACTAGTTTTTGTCCGTGACAGCAATCGTGATACATGTTATGTATATTATATCGGGTAAATAAGTTCCATGACTCCATTTATTTTGTAATAGTTGGATAAACCGTTAACATTAACAGGAAGCCAGTAACATGTATTTAGTCACCATAATTCCATCAAAATTTAATGAATCATCTCAATGATCTTACTAGTTATGTATAATATTAAATTGGTTTATAGGTATATACATTATAGTAGTTTTTAGGTAATGTCTCTCGTTATTTTATTTACTGGTCAACCCAAAGATTGGTTTTAGAATATTTTCTAGCATTAAGTTTGTCGTGTACCTATCTAACTATAATTAAAGTTATTAAATAAAGTGAAATAAACGATTTAGGATTTATATTACAATCACAGTTTGTTTCTTTATGACAGGCATCTGTAAGCTTGAACTTTGTACAGTTACTTGCGTAGATAAGTATTATCTCATTAAATAAGATATATAGTAAATAGAAATACTGTAATGCTGAATAAATGTTTTTATTATTATTGTATGCTGAGTTTGAATATGAGTGAAATTAGGAGGTACGGTGGCATAACATATTAGTCTTCGGAATTAATATTGGAAGGTGGATACATAATAATATAACAATTGACAATTCACACAGCTTTATCTACATAGTCCTAAGCTAAGCAGAGCTTATGCCATGGGTACTAGACATCTGATATAAATATATATTTATTTGTAGATATGTATACGTAGAAAATACCCAGACCGATATAGACAATCACTCATGAATACAAATGTTTGTGTGTGGAATTGAACCACAACCATCCGCTAGAGACCATCGTGAAATACTCATAGCACAGGAATCGGAAAGATTGTTGAATTTGTATTAAAGAGAACATTTTACATATAATTAAAATTGTCTATTCGTTCCAAATCCAAAGCAGTCTCAGGTGTACATTACTCAGGGTTACGGTAACCATGCTTATGCTTGCTTATGCTTATGTATGCCTATGCTTTGCCACCATCGCAGTATAAAAAAAAGTCTTGTTAGATAATTGTTAATTTTTAGACTATTATATATATATATATATATATATATTAAAGTTAGTACCAATAAAAAAAGCATTCATATTTCAAGACAATTCACACAGCGCCATCTAGTGCCAAGGTAAGCAGAGCTTGTGTCATCGGTACTAGACAACTGATACAAATACACAGATGATTTTTTTTGTACATTCATACACAATATATAGATAGAATACACCCAAACCCCTACAGACGAATGAAGATGCCATGCGAGTAATGGAACCCGCGACCACGAGAACTAAGGCCGTGTTCTAAACCGCTAGACCAACGAGGCTGTCAAAAAGAAAGATATCATTGGGGAAATATCTAATATTTTTACCCAATGATATTGATATTATCTTTATTGTAAATCTAAATAGAATTATTACCTACGTGACAAATGTCGACAGTTTCATTTATGTACAGACTACGGAACAGTTATCTGTAACTTTTATAATTCAATTCGATAGTTCTTGTCCAACTTAGTATCTGTATTGATGGATGTACTTATAATACCTGTATGTATATGTTGACGGCCTCGGTAGTCTAGCGGTTTAGCACACCGCCTTACTTCCGATGGTCGCGGGTTCGATTCCTCGCATGGCACAAACCTTTGTATGAGTATAATTGTTTGTATCTATATCTATATATAATATGTATATTTACGAAAAAAATCTATCTAAGTATATGTATCAGTTATCTAGTAGCCATAACACAAGTTTTAGCTAGCTAACATGAGTCTAGAGAGCGCTGTGTAAATTGTCCTGAGATTTTTATTATTATTATTATTATATATGTATCTATTATATACACGGAAATATTTGCTACCTATTAAGGTGGATGGTAAATCTTACTAATATATATATTATAAACGCAAAAGTTTGTGAGTTTGGACGGATGTGTGTTATTCTTTCACGTAGAAACTATTGAACGGATACTGTTGAAACTTTACAGTGACATAGCTTATACATTAAAATAACACATAGTGTGTAATTCAATAAGATATTATGTAAATTGGGCGAAATATAATGATAAAAGTCTAGAAGGTGTGATGCAGACGAAGTTGCGCAGGCCAGCTAGTAAGTAATAAATGAACGTCGGTATAGAAAATCAGGTTACTGAATTTCCGCATTGGATATTAATTGGCTCACAGCATCTCAGGTAATTAGTGTCCGGGATTTCTCGTAATATTTAGAATTTTCTATCCATTTTTAAAGTAGCTAACTTGTATTCTGTTTTAAGAAAATTGCTGAGCAAATAGATTGCTAACAATAATTATTATTATAACGAAGTAAGCAACTTATATTACAGTTTTTAAAATTAGAACATACACTCATTGTGCGTTCTATTTTTAAAATGATGCAAGTAAAGGAAAGTGTACTTTTTTATTCTTTGTAATTAATTTGACGAAGTAAACAAGTTACTTATTTTACAGTTTTTAAAATTAGAACGTACACTCATTGTACGTTCTATTTTTAAAATGATACAGGTGAAGGAAAGTGCACTTTTTATATTTTTTGCAATTAATTTGACGAAGTAAACAACTTATATTACATTTTAAACTAAGTCTAGTTTTAGAAAGTAAATATTTTTGTTTTACAATTTACACAGCGCCATTTATTCCCAAGCTAAGTAGAGCTTGTGTTATGGGTACTAAACACCTGATACAAATATTTATATTCATTTTGTATAACATACGTAATGTACATAAAAAACGCACAGATGAATACAAATAATCAGACTCATGAATACAAATGATGCATGATGCGAGGAATCAAATCCGCGACTATCAAAATTAACAACAGACCGCTAAAACACCGTGGTTGTAAGTAAACATATAAATATATGAGTAGTATATAACATAACTCAATTTATAAATGTAATGTATTTATTTATTTATAACTCTTTGTTGCACCTTAAATAAAAATACAAAATAAGACAGAATATACACAGGTACAGGTATGGAGGTACAAATGGCGGTATTATCGCTTAAGCGATCTCTTCCATACAACCTATGGGTAAAGGAGAAAAGAAAAGGTGGTGGATGGAATAAACATATAATAGTAACACATGCATTGAGAAAAGAGCAACACGCAAGTTTCTTGCTCGTTTTTCTTAGGATGAGTCTGCGTTCCGAATGAGTGGTAGAGTGAAAAAAATATGACTATTAAAAAGTGCTTATATGTGTTTATTTTATGGTCTTGTTGGTCTAGCGGTTTACTTCCGATGGTCTCGGGGTCGATTCCTCGCACGGCACGACACGGTGTCGGTTTGGGTATTTTCTATACATAGTATGTATGTATTTACGAAAAAAAATATATCTATGTATTTGTATCAGTTATCTAGTACCCATAACACAAGCTTTAGCTAGTTTACTTGGGTCTAGATGGCGCTGTGTGAATTGTTATTATTTGAATATAAGTTATTTCTAGTTGTATTTCATATATTAAAATAAATGTATATTTCTCGAGTCAGGTAACCATTAGTAATGAAAACAGGGTAGTGTGACTACAATAATTAAACAATTTTGGATATCCACGAACTGTATCGCATGCAGTCACCTTTATACATACTACGTACATAATATTAATTCAGAAATTATTTTTATATTATACGACATTGTTAGTCGGATCGTAGTCGAATTGTGTTTGTGTAGTTTGTTTTAATTATTACTGGTTTTGTTTTATTTTATTGATGATAATGGAATGGTGCATCCGATATAGGATCCGATCCGATCCGATCCAGTGCAAGATAAAAATAGAGCATGAGGTTAGGTCAGTTAGCTATAACACATACCCTGGACCCTGATACGTGTTGATGAACATTAAAATCCAGAACATCAAAAGATTTGGACTGATATAACCTCATGCTTCTTCCTTTTCT